CAGAACCTCTTGATTTATTGAAACTGAAAAAAGAAATGAAATAAAAATGTCACTCTTTATTTCAGAGAACCTTCCATTACAATTCCCATTTCTGGAGCGACAGAAATGTCTATCACCTTGGTGGAGGCAGGACTGGCTTTGATTTACAAGAGACTAAGTTACCGACTTACTGGAACACACCCTTCTCCAAGATTTGCCTCGGTATGAAGATTGGTCATCAGCTCCGGTTCATTGTCATCAACAGGCACGCCAACTCACTCTACTCACTGATCGCTGATGGGAAATACCGTGCTACGGCACTTGGTCGTAACACGTGGAAGACGCTGATTGGCTTACAGGCCTCATTCCAGCCCAACTGTAACAAAGGATTCAATGCTGTAGGTGACAACCATCTTCACTCCAAAGCAAGAATCGGCATCACAGCAAACCAGCAGAATGACTGCTCATCGTGCGACTCCAGAATCGGCCTCGGTACTGGAGGGCTGTTTGATGACTCCAACACCTGTGGCAATCAAGCATCACACTGGCGAGACAATGGAAACAAGCATATCAAGGTCATGGGGTACATCCTGGTGCAGTGACAAGGGACACAGTTGACTTTCTAAATTTCAAGCCGAGAAGCCATCATCAAGTAGCAAAAATGTAGTATTCTAAAGCCTAGAAGCTAGTAAAACAATGGGTTTAAAATTCTCTTCTCCTCTGATCCGATTTATCTCAATTATAGATTTTTTTGTAGTGAGTCTAAGACGTGTTAATTGTGCAAAGCTAATTCAAGTTTTAAGAATGAGGTAAATATTGGCTACGAAAATGTATTCGGTGTTCATTATTGGTCCACATGGGAGCTGTAGGCTAAGGAAAGTCACGATCCGATCACACACCTAAAGGTGATACACAAACATGGCGAATTTTGATTTTTTTTGGAGCCCACAGATATTAATTATTAATACGAAAAAAATAATTGGCTCAGATACGAGAACTAACGTAACCCAAAAAGTAGTACTGCGTAAAATATTGCCTACTTTTCTCGCTCTCATTAGAATCAACTACTTTTTTGTACCATTTGCTTAAGACGGCAGTTTCCGCGTGGAATACGAATGAAGGTATTAATTTGATCATTAGTACTTCAACGGAACGGATTTCCTTCCGGAATATTCTCGTTAGTCATGACCTCTTACACCACAACTTCAGATGACACCTTTTAATTCATACCGGTAAGTAGTCCTAAATGGATCAATCAGATTTCTTTTCCAAAATTTATAGAAAAGAATTTTGTAGCTACCTCATGCAAAAGAAAGGATAGTTTTGGAACTAGTCATGATCAGTCGTCCCCTACAGACCATGGAGGGTAAGAGTTAAACAAAGAAAACTGACTACCAATTTAATGCCATGTCTCTAACAGTGTTGCACGGATAAATGACAGTGACTATGGACAGGACTTAGAAAATCATCCTAGTATTTTGGCCATTCATGAACATTATAGGGACATCAATACACCACTTTCTTTTGATTTTCGCTGTACCAA